ACACAATGTAAAATATCAAAAACAAAAAAATGCTACAAAATTTCAAAGCATTTTCATATCTTCGTGTCAATATTTTGATATTTTCTTCAATTTATCATTTTCCACATCTTCAATATTCACCACAATTTCTTCCAAATCTACAAAAAAATTAAAAAGAATCTGATTGATGCAAAAACACTCACAAAAATACATATGTGATTTACATGTGAATCACATGTAATTCATATGTGAATCACATGTAATTCATATGTGAATTACATGTGATTTACATGTAATTCATATGTGAATATATGAATTACATGTGATTCATATGTGAATAACATGTGAATAAATTTTGGTTTACATGTGAATCACAAGAAATTCATATGTGAATAACATGCAAATAACATGTGAATTACATGTGAATCACATGTAATTCATATGAGAATTACACGCGAATCACATGTAAATCATATATGAATTACATGTGATTCTGTAACGTCCCGATTCCAGGTATAAATTTAATTAAAACATAATTTATCTTATGTCCTACTCGGCGAGTTGGTTGCCCTGCTCGCCGAGTAGCAGTGGGTTTGGAACGCGAGTTTAGTGACCTACTCGGTGAGTCCACCAAGGGACTCGGCGAGTAGGAGCTGGCAGATGAAACCCTAAATTATGGGGTTTTACACCCAATTTAAAGGATCATTGGCCTCCACCAGCCTCCCCTTATGCCTCTTGTCTCTCTCAAACCCTAAAACGTGTGTGCGTGTGTGTGTGTGTGTTCTTTGGTGTCCAAGCTTGAAGGAGTAACTTTGGAAGGAAGCATTTGAAGAAGAAAGGAAAAGCAAGGCCGGGAACTCGGGAAAAGCTAAGGGATTGCATCAGACATCACTCTCTGGAAGGTAATAAGCTATTCCCTTAAGCTCTTTTCACTTTGAACCTCCCTTGGATGGGTGTTATGAAGGACTCTCCACGTTTAAGCTAAGATTTGAAGTTATAACTTCAGATATGGACTTCCCTTGACCTCTAGATCCATAAAGTTCCCAGATTGTGCAAGGTTGAAACTCTCCCAAGGTGTAAAACTCCATTAAAGAGCTTAGATTGATCATTTCGGGCCTTTAGAGCCTTGCATGTACGTAAAGATTGCAACTTTACGTAATAAACGTGCCTTAGGAGCTTGGATATGTAATTTGGGGCCTTGTCATGGCTTAAAGAGCATCTGCATGGATTAAGATCTACATGGACTCGGCGAGTTGATTAAGGGACTCGGCGAGTCCGTTGAAGATGGCCATGAACTCGGCAAGTTGGATGAACTCGGCGAGTTCGTTGAAGATTGCCTTGAACTCGGCGAGTGTTAGAAAACTCGGCGAGTTGGCTAGGGTTTCTCCCAAAATCTTGGTCGTATATGAACTTGATGAGTGAAAAGGAGACCTCAGCGAGCAGGTCGAGGATTTCACGACTTCTCGAACTCAGGAACAACTCGGCGAGTTGGAGACCTGCACTCGGCGAGTCGAGTCAACATGGACTGTTGACTCTGCTGTGGACTTTGACTTGGACCAAGGGGTTGACCAATTGAATTATGTGGGATTTAAGATTTATGAAAAAGGTTGTGTGGTACTTTTAGGTGGTGAAGTTCGTGTTGGACCCGGGAGTTGAGCTTGCTTATTTACGACGACAGTTGCGAGGTGAGTTATCCTCACTATACTAAGGGGTCTAAGGCACCAATGCCGGCCCATTGGATTTGATATCCTAGTAGTTATTGTTATGTATAGTTTGAGTTAGTAATGCATGTCAGTTGATGTGCTAGTCGGGTAGATCTTTAGGACTGCCTGTGATACTGATTGATTACCTGTGTGCGCATTTATCTGTTACATGTCGACATGTTATGTGGGGTGGGTTGAGGTTGTACTACTCCGTGCGGTAGCCAACAAACCCGAGAGCATTTCGGATACGAGCTGAGGGCCCGGTAGGCATTCCAGACTCGTACTGAGGGCTCGATGGAATTCTAGATACGAGCTGAGGGCCATATAGGCATTCCAGACTTGTACTGAGGGCCCAGGGGTAGTCCAGCTTGTAAAGCTGTGGACCCAGTGCACGCTGTTCTGTTTTGATTAATATGATATGCTGATGTTGATATTGCTATGTGAACTGTATGTGTCTCGGTATTTTGGGGGTAACTCACTAAGCTCTCAGGCTTACAGTTTCTGTTTATTGTTTCAGGTACCGCTGGGGATCGCGACAAGGCTAAGGCTTGATCGTACAGCTCCTCCTATTGTGTTATGCTTTTGGGAAAACTCTGATATAAATGTATTTTGAAAACAAAGTTGTAATGTTTTGATGAATTTGTCGTGTTTTTTTAAAAAATTTAAATTTGGCTTAAATATCGAGTGTTACAGATTCATATGTGAATAACATGTGAATAACTTGTGATTTACATGTGAATCACATGTAATTCATATGTGAATTACATGTCATTTACATGTGTATCACATGTGATTCATATGTCATTTACATGTGAATCAAATGTAATTCATATGAGAATTACAGGTGAATCACATGTAATTCATATGTAATTTGCATGTGAATCACATGTAATTCATATGTGAATCACAAGAATTCAACGATTGACCATAAACAAGTAAAATAAAGAAAACCCCATAGAATTAGTTCTAGGTTTATAAAAAAAATGTAATTACAAGTTTTAGGATTTTTGCAATTCTAGCATTAAAGGTATATGTAAATGAATAGATTGGTTACCAGGTATGATGGATCTTGAAATGTCATTGTCACATTTGACCAAAATAAGACATGCCATGAAAATAAAAGTAGAGTATCATCTGTAAATAATGATATTATTTTTTCTGGTAATGAACTAGTAAAGATGAAAAGAACAAAATATTAAAAAAAAAAAAATAGAAAATATTCCTGAAACCAAGCACAAACCTGAAGAAGAGAAATGTCGGATTTAGCCCCATAGATACTCTTCCTCTATGTGGAGGTTATCATAAAAGGCTGAAGCAATTTGAGCTTTCAGTTCCTGATCATATAAGTATTAACTCCATCATTTGGTGATGTAAATATACTTATCAGATTCAATTACATGTATATAACTACATTTTATACATCTCAAGCTCTCAACTGCTTATTTATTTATTTTATTGTTTTATCTCCCTATTTCAGATAATCCTATCTCAAGAGAAACAAATTCAAAAGCTTAAAGCACTGGTACAATCTCTTCAAGAACAGTTGCTAGTATGCAGGGGCAAAGATTACATTGTGAATGACACTACATGATCTTGAACTGAACTACTTAACGAACTAAATCATCACCAAATCATGGAGTAATAATTAACTTATTAACATCACCAAATTTCTTATATTACTTAGCACAATCAATGATGAAAATTTTCATTCAATGAACACCATGGATGGTTACTTCCACAGAAAAATAGGTTTTATACGTGTTAATTGTATAGTGCAGTCAGACACGGGAAACTAACCTACCTCAGTCGGCATTGTAAGGTCCAATTCATTACGAGACTATAATTTTTCAAGAAGATAAAATCAATTCACTACGAGAGAGATAGAGAGTGAGAGACTAACTTGTTCCTTGCACTGTTGTCGGGCTTATGAACACCATCAATACAGAATAACACAGTAAGATACCTCCTAAGGATTTAGATCAATATACCTGATTCCCGATGGACATGGAAGTAGTCATTGATTGTTTGATTGGAAAATCATCTGGAAACAGGAAGAATAACTTAAGAGTCGACAATTATTGTTTCTGTTGAAGGTAATAACATATTTTCGAGCATAAATTAGATATGTTAATCCATGGAATGACATCAATTTGTTGATTCATCGATTATCTTCCAAGGATTTAGAAATTAGGCATTGTGAATTGTATGTCAATGTAAATTAGAACCTGTAAAAATATCAGTACTCTCGAACAAACTCCACCATCACAGCCATTGGAGTTTCTTTTTCTTCATCTCCTGTTACATGTTTGATTGGAAAATCGGCAATAATGGTGGTTGACTCGAGACAACAGTGAGAATGCGGAGGCGATTGTAGACAACCACTTCTATTCACGATCTATGACGGTGGCTAAGATCCGACACTTTAAGGCAAATCAAAATCAACAAAATAACGGTGTCAGTGTGGAGGAGTAGAGGTGGAGGTGGTACTCTCTGGTGATTGAAGACAAGTGAGAATGTGGCATCGATGAAAGTAGTATGAATTAGGGCACAAAACTTCGAGAGGGAAGAATGACACAACCACCGCGATGTTAAATCTATCAATCATCGGAGAATCTTTAATGAAGACGGTGGTTGTTGACGGAGGTAGGGTGGTTTTTAGAGGGAGGAGGGAGGGGTCGACGAAGAGGGAGGACGTCAATGGAGTCGGTGAAGAATTGGAAAAGGGAACAAGCGATTGAAAGACTAATCACGATTTATTTGGAGAGCTAATTAACTATTCCCTTAAATGCCCTTATCTTATTTTATTAAGATACCCTTCCATGATTTTTTTCTATTTATTTACAAAATTGCCATCAAAGATCTTGGCCCTTAACTTTTTTAATCTAATAGTCCACTTTTAGTTCTTATGTTCTCGGGAAAATATGAGTTTTCAAATGATCCTTGCTATATATATATATATATATATAAAAGACTAAAGGGGCTAACATAACAACTATAGTATACATTAATAATAAACATGTTAGAATTTACATTTAAATAATTTCATAAAATATGATACACATCAGATACTTGATTACTATCTGAACATTGACCCATATGTAGATAGTCTTTGCTTAGTTTGTCCTTGCAATTTACTGCTTAATGCGTAGTGATCGTCGAATATTTTTTGTATGTTTTGCATTTTGCAATTATATTCTTACTTTTATTAAAATTTCATTGCTTCTAAGTTGTATATTATCAACTTGATGTGAAGGTTTAAGACCAAGGACAAGCTATGTTTAAAAATGATAGAAACGGTCAATTGGTAGCAATTATAACCTATTTTTTTTCTTCCAGAAAGGATTTCAGCTTCAGCAGCTCTTCTGCAGAAAAGGTCCGGCTGACTCTGGCACGCCTCTGTGCCACCACTTGTGATGGCGGTTCCGGATGAAAACACACAATAACCACCGTCAAATTGTCAAATGACCCTCTCCTTAAAGCTTCTTTTGCCAACTCCATGCAACACCTGTTGATGTCATTGTGCTCCTGCAGCTGCCGCCTCACAAAGTCCACTGCGTTTTGGCTACTGATCACGTCCCAGATCCCATCACTTCCAAGGATCAAAAACTCGTCTTCTTTGGTTAGAGTTATGAGTTTGAGCTCTGGTTCAGCTGTCAATGGGCTGATGTCGTCGCCCATTTCTTTGAGCCCTTTCATGTCCCAGTTACCAATAGCTCGCGTGACGGCTAATTGGCCGTTCAAGTAGCCGTCTTCAATGAAGCCACCTAAGGATTCAACCCGAATCCTTTCTTTGTTGTAGATTGGTGTATGGTCGTTTGACATATCAAGAGCTCTTCCATTTCGAGAGAGAACTGCCCGACTATTTCCAGCATTTTCAACGAGGAGGGACCTGTTAAAAATAAGTAATCGTAAGCCTTTTGACCTAACAAACTAAGTTCACATTTTAACAAAACAAGCTCCAATCAAGATGGTCCTCATGAAATAAAACATTTGTTAACTTTTTTTTAAATATCTAATTTACATATTTACCCGTCGTCATCATTACATGGAAACTATATTATCAATCTTTGTAGATTAATTTGCAGGGCAGTCTGACAGAAAAAAATGGATCTTATCGTTATTATAAGTTTTTATTTTTAAATAAAAAAGATATATAATATATAATAAAAAAGTTAGACCATGTGCAACTGTCCACTTTGCCCCCTCAACGCCCCATGTTAATTGGTCTTTTTTCATAATTGAAATGTGTTTACGGCATTTGGCCAATAGTCAAAACGTTTCTAGGATTAACTCTAAACCACACTCATTGACCATCCAAAACATTTTATAAATCAAAAATAATAAATAAATTATGAGACATATATAAATCAAGAACACAATTAACTAACCTCCCGAAGATTAGAGCAACAAGTGCAGTTGTGCCAGAAGAAAGAGTGGATTCAAGAGCATATGACCTAGCAAAGGCAGCATCCATTTCCATAAACGACCTTGTGACTACTTTCTCAAGTTCCAATGGAAAATCAGCATCGGCAACGATGATTCTTGGCAAATTATCGCGCACAAAATCTGACGCTTCCTTTCCTCCATGCCCATCAAACACCTATTCCCCCCCCCCCCCCCCCCCCCCCCCCCCCAAAAAAAAAAAAAAGTATTAGGTTTACACATCTTAAGGACCAGGGAAATGAACTTCTCATTTATCAAAATTACAAAACCACTAACCCCATAAAATGAAACGCTTTCTTCACCAAGAATCTTATTACTAAATTTTTTAGCTAGGTCTTGAATGCATATATGAGTATCCTCCATATAGGGTCGACTTCCACTATCAGACCACTCTCTAGAACGAAGAATGGGGATGAAATTACTCGGTTTCTCTTCTGCAATCTGATGAAAAACACAATATGTGATTAATGAAGCAAGTTGTCTACCACTTGTTTTTCATTTTGTAAAAAGAAATATGTAACCTTATAGAAATTTTATATGGTTTGAATGATGGTTAAAAAGCATAAGATCGTTAAAAATGCAGGTCCAATAAATGGCATCAAAACATGATAAAAACCAGAAAGTTTTGCTATCAATTGCATGCACATATTGTAACTAGCTAGCTGAAATTCAAATTGTGATCCTTATTCTAGAAAAGGCAACATTTTAACATTATTATATATATATATATATATATATATATATATATATATATATATATATATATATATATATATATATATATATAATAAAAAGCAATTCCCTTATGAATAGTATTGTTCTGTGTTTTTACAATTTCACCACAAAAGTTTTTTATTTCACATTTTGGCTACAAATCTATTTTCTTATTTCATACTTTGGCCACAAAAGTTTCTTATGTTGGCAGATTTGGTCCCTAGACTTTCGTACATCGGCAATTTCCATCCATTTATTTCGTAGAATGGCATCTTCCAGCCCTTACTTCGTCAAATGACAATTTACACGCATTTTACTTTGTAAAATGTCACTTTGACCCTGAAAGTTGATACAATCTTCCGTGTCTTATTCCCCAATCTCAATGGTATTTATAATACAAGAATAGTTGAGCTAATCTAAGTTAGGAAAATATTTACAAAATAATTTCAGCATTATACAAAATATACGGCTAATATAAAATATATGACTAATACACCCCCACAGTCGAAACGGTAGGTGGCTGAATGTTGAGACTGGATTTGAAGTCATTGAACAGAACGCATGGGAGTCCCTTTGTGAAGATGTCGGCAATTTGAAACCGTGATGGCACATGAAAGACTCGAACTTCACCCCTAGCTACTTTTTCTCGAACGAAATGGATGTCGATTTCTATGTGTTTAGTGCGTTGATGTTGAACCAGATTGGTTGACAAATAAACAGCACTCACATTATCACAGTAGACAATGGTTGCTTTGTGAGGGAGATGATGTAACTCACATAAAAGATTTTGTAGCCAACAAGATTCTGAGACAACGTTTGCAACCCCTCAGTATTCGGCTTCGGCGCTCGATCTAGAAATAGTGGTCTGCCGTTTGGAGGACCAAGAAAGGAGATTGTTTCCCATAAAGATGCAGTATCTAGATGTCGAATGTCGGGTGTCGGGACAGCCCGCCCAATCAGCATCGGTGTAGGATAGAAGCGATGTAGTGTTGGAGCCGATAAGAGTTAAGCCATGATCTATTGTGCCACAAATGTATCGAAGTATTCTTTTTAGAGCCGTGAAATGGGGAACTCGAGGGGCATGCATGTGCATGCAAATTTTTTGAACTGCATAGCTAATGTCCAAACGTGTAAAAGTGAGATATTGAAGGGCCCCTGCTAGCTGCCGAAATTCTGTTGGATTTTCCAAAAGTTCGTCGGTTTTGGCGCTAATTTTTCCTGATGAGTCGACCGGTGTTGGAAGAGGTTTGCAATTTTCGAAGCCTGCTCTTTTTAGAATTTCTGCAGCATATTTTTGCTGTGAAAGGAACATCGAACCTGCAGATTGGCGTGTGACTGCAATACCCAGAAAAAAACTTAAGGGCCCAAGGTCTTTCATTGCAAACTCCTTGGCAAGGAGACCCATTAATTTATTTCGTACTGAATCGGAGGATGTCACAAGAAGAATATCATCCACGTAAAGCAATAGGTATTCGGTATCACCTCCATGTCGGTAGATGAATAGTGAATGATCAGAGCGACTATGTTGGAACCCAATTTGGAAGGCGTATTCAGTGAACCTTTGATACCACGCTCTCGGGGCTTGTTTTAGGCCATATAGGGACTTCTTTAAGAGACATACATGGTTGGGAAATTGTGTGTCGCGAAATCCCATTGGTTGATGCATATAAACTGTTTCATCCAAATGCCCGTGAAGAAACGCGTTTTTGACATCTAATTGGTGAATTTGCCAAGATTGAGAGAGAGCAATGGTAAGCACGGTTCTGATGGTTGCTGGCTTGATCACTGGACTAAATGTTTCTCCACAATCCACGACTACCTGTTGAGACCTCCCGTCACAAACTAACCGTGCCTTATATCTTTCCAATGTACCATCAGATTTCATTTTGTGGCGAAAAATCCACATACTTCGGACAGTGTTCATGTGAGGATGTCTTGGTACAAGCTCCCATCTCTTATTGTCGATAAGTTCCCGGGATTCATCAAGCATGACATTCTTCCAATCCAAATTGTTTAAGGATTTGGTTGGGTTTTTGGGAATAGGAGTGATAAGAGTGGAGGCATGGAGGTTAAGGTTACATTTAGGTTTGGAGATGGCAGACATGCTACAGGTTTTTATAGTACGGGTAGGAATATTGGAGGTGATGATGGGTTCGGTGGTGTTGGTGGTTTCTGTGGTGTTGGTGGTTTTTGGGATGGTTTCGGTGGTGTTGGTGGTTTTTGTGGTGTCTGAATGTCCAGGTTGTTTGGGGCGTCGGCTATAGGTGAATTGTATGGGAGGTTTGGGAAGTCTTGAAGGGGCTGGTGGTGTTGTTGGGTGGGGGGGGTGATGTTGGAATAGTACCGGTGGGAGAACTAAGCCACGTTAGAGGGTAATGTGATTCATCGGTGAATATAGAGTAGTTAGTATGTAAAGAAGAGGAATGCTTAAAGGGAAAAGAATGTTCGTCAAAAATGACATGGCGAGATGTAATGATTTTCTGTTTAGATGTATCGAAACACATATACCCACGGTGGTCGGGTGGGTAACCGAGGAAGACACAAGGATGGGATATAGCATATTCGAGAGGAGATAACATGGTTTGGATACTATGATTCGTAACAGAGGGTGCTTTTGTCTTTACCTATTATCCGATGATGGGTGTTCAGACTGAGAATGGATATGGTAAACTATGGGGCCAAAGGATCATGTCAGTGGAGTTTCAATGGAGTGTATCTTACGAGGATAATTGAGTTTAGATTTCGAGGAGTATGACTAGTGAGGTGCCAGTTGGAGTTGCAAGGCTCTAGGGAAGCAGATATGATGTGATGCGGAGGATTGTGGTATGGGATGAGTGATTGGCCGATGGTTGAGATGTCACTTTCTGTGTAACGCCCGTAGATCCGGGCTAGTCAATTTAGAGCAATAAGTGTCGAAAAAGAATCTTCGGCAAAAAATTATTCAGAATAAATAATCTTAACAAAGTTGTAGAATAATTCTCAAGGTTTCCGTACATATAAAGAACGCCGAAATCCGAGTTATAACAAATAAGTTATGGTCCGTCAAAGTTTTGCGGCAAAACCGGCACGGCACCGGGAAGCGTAAATAATGAATTTACGATAGAAAAATTTTTGGCCTTAGTAATCTGAAAAAAAAAATTAGTGTACATTAAACCGAGAACATACAAAAAAAAAAAAGAACGCCCAAATCTGACTTCATATGAGGAAGTAATGAATTTTCCAAGATTTGGCTTAGCAGTGCACGACCCGAAACACGAATTTTAGTTCGAGTGGTTTTTGGCCTACATGGCCTAAATTAGAGTTGAATATCTCATTAATAGGAACTCAATGGTAAAAATACAGACGAAAACGGAGTCCGTATGAAGGAGTTACGAATTCTTCGCGGTCATGTAACAGCTTAATCTCCTTCTACTATTAAATTTAAAATCGGTCGAGAATTAGCCGATGGAGTCTAAATGAAAGTTGTAGATCTTGTTTTTACCTACGCGTGGAAAAAAGAATGTCGAAAACGGAGCTCGTATGCAAAAATTATGGGGTTTAGAAATCGGTAGGGTGCTGCTGCAAAAGGGGTAACGTGGCACAATGTAGGCTACACACGTTTCACCACCAGAATGTTGACACCCGGCCTGGAACTCGACGAGTTTTGGGGATTTCCAGCCTATAAATAGAGGTTCCGGGTTCCCTCATTCTTCACACCTTCCCAACTTCACTTTCTCTCTCTAGTTTCTCTTTCTAAAGCCCCAACCCCCCCCCCCCTCTAAAGTCTAGGTAAACACCCTATCCCCAGAAGGAAGCCTCGAGGCTCCCCGAGCACCTAACGGCTCCAAAGAGAAGAGCCTCGGGCTCAGAAACTCTGCCCCGGCGGAGCCCGGTTTCCAAGGAAACCCACTGTAAGTGTGCTATACCTACCCTATCTTTAGTAAAACTTATGTTTCAATATAGTAAAGTTATTAGGAAATTATAATAAGCATTTACACTATTATTATGAGTTATATAAGTGTTGTTATAACGTCCTTTTAACCACTCGCAGTACGGGGGTTCCGGTTTGGAGGGCCGCTTGGGTTACTGGATTTAGAAGTGCTTTTATGTCAAAATGATCCTGCCCTCCGGTGTTCCATGTCTGGCCTCGTCTGTATATATAGTGGGTGAAAAGTATTGTGTTAACGCTTATATAATAATAATAATGGCTAGACTATTAATTAGTCACAGTTAACATCAGACTAAACCCTAGTGATATTGATACTAGGTTTTGTTGATGAAAATGTTTTAAGAGTAACAAAGTGCTGGTCCGAGTGTCGATTCACCACCTTACCAGGT